GGACTGTGAGTAGGTCAGGTATCAGCAGTCCAATATCAGTTTATTGCTAAATTCCTGTAACTGAACTGAAGCATTTAAGAGCTGGTAAGAGCATTTCCTGGCATATTCCTGGAGTCATCCTGACATAAAGTGCTCATACATTACCACTCCTACATATGAGACAAACGTGCACACAACCTTCATCAAAGTTGACCTTTTTTCAGAAAAACACAAAAACCCTGGATCACTGGAGCAAGCTGATCTTGCTTTTTTTTTTATCTTCTTCTAAACTGGCACTGGATTTGTTTCTTCTTTATGTTACCACATCATAGTAGCTTGGCGAGTCAAGCAGGTATAAATCAGGTTTGAGGAATTTAAATATAGCCCATAAGTCATTGTTTTGTAGTTGTTATGGAAAAATGTCACCCGGTCGGTATTTCAAAATAAGGATGATTAGGTCTAAGTGAGTGTCGAGTCAGATTGCAGATGAGATGTGGGGTTTGTTTTGGTGCGTGGTCAGCCTGGCAGGGTGGAGCTTGTCATTGCACATCTGTGAGTGAGCTCAGTGATTTAGCGTAGCATAGGGGGGCGGGTAGCACAGAAGAAAACCACGTCATGTCGGACCCAAAGAGAGAGCCATCTGTATTATGTCATGACTGCTGGGGGAATCCACCCTTTGCTCTATATTTCCTTGTTCCTCTCCCTCCCAGACTCCCCCACCCTGAATTTCTCTTTACTGCTGTACGTCATTGGTTTAGTGATACTGACATTGTTGTATTCCTCTAACATAAATGTGCCACAGGACTTAATCTCCGTCCTTGTTTGCAATTTTTCCAAACTTTACCACCAAATCTTCTTTCCCCATGGCTTAACTTTGTTCATCCTATCTTCTTTCGGCCTGCCTGTCATCCATCACCACTAATGACAGTCCACCTCCAGCTTTTGAGTGAAAGCTCTCTGTCTGCACTTGCCTGTCCTATTTGATGTTCACCTTCGCTCCTGTAGCACTACCCAAAAACCAGACGTGGACACTCAACAGCCTGTAATTACGTTAAAGGGGGGTTCCATTTAGGAGCTCCAGATAATGTCTGAATAAATGAGAGTCAAAGTTTAAACATGGTGAAAAAGTAAGTGATCTTTTGCATTGCTTCTGTTAAAACTATAGCACTATATCAGAAGGAAGATGTGTCATTGACTTACTTTGGAACACAATTCAGCATTAAACATAAGTGTACTGCAATTGCATCCTGGTGCGTCTCTAGTAACACATTTAGGGCCAAGGGCACGCCCTGAAATAAATAAACTGCGCTCTCACACAAGCACACGCAAACACACACAGACACTCACAGGCACATTTGCGCACACACACAGGCACATTTGCTCGTACACACACACCAACACACATACCATGTATCCATCCCTTCAGGGGACATTACATTGACTTACATGCATTTCCTGGAGACTTATCCTAACCTTAACCATAACCAACACATGCCTAACCAGGTCTTCACCCTAAAATTAATGATTCCCCTCATGGGGACCTCAATTTTGTCCCCATAAGGGAGACGAGTCCCCACAAGTGACTGTGTAAGCAGATTTAGGTCCCCACAATTATAGTAATGCTAGGCCACACACACACACACACACACACACACACACACACACACACACACACACACTTTATTTGGTTCCACAGATGATATTACATAGACAGGGAATCAAATATATCGAGGCTAAGCAGCACACGCAAGGGAACACATAGCACCTCCTTCTCCACACGGCTAAGCTGCCAATAATAGCTGAAACAGAGCAATATTTGGCAATTTGTTTGGCTTTTCTCTTTGACATTCCAGCAATTTTCAGGCCAATCATGGTGTATTTATATACATGGCCAAGACTTCCGAATATGAGTATGCTATATCCAGGGGCGGATCTAACATATTCATGGAGTGGCAAGAAGGTGCAGGAGATTTTGAGGGGTGGCATCCCCTGGCAGAAGTAGGCTGCTGATTTAATCGCAGTCATATCAATCAATGTTAACTTGGAAAGCCACAATATTGATATTTTATCTCAATAACATAGGTGACATTATTGTGGCACATCAGTAAAGCCTTAAATAGAAATATATAAGGTGGCAGACATCATTTAATGAATTTGAACTGAACAATAACTGAATGAGTTTGTTTCACTCTTAGACCAGCAGGGGTACCAAATCTATGCAGATAAGTACATTAATTAACTGTCTTATCAATGTTTCTCTGAATGAATATGATAATATTAACAATTATATCATTCCTATCAGCTGTCAATCACTGTTATGATTCACATATATATTTTTTGGAGGAGTTAATGATGAATGTTCCTCAACATTCTTGCTCACTCTCCTTCAAATTTGAAAGACAAATTACTATCATATATCAAAATTCATAAGTATCAAAGGAACAGTTCAGCACCCCACGACTTTACTGCAAACAGTTACAACCTTGACTTTGTTCCAACTGTTGTTTCTGGTGTTTTAATTGTTCCCCTTGTACATCAAGCTCATTGTAATGGCAATTTCCTTTTCCTATGTCCTATATATTTTTGCCGTTACTTTCACAGAAGGGTTGAAAAGTGATCCAGACGCAGACACAAACAGATGATTTTCCGGTCCTTAGTTGTGGTTTATGATGATGTTTATTCGTCTTTACATACCAGGGTTAATTTAGCGTTCTAGTGATTCTATGAGCATCTGCCGGGCTGGTGGAATCGTTATGCTCTTCTCCTACTGTGTCCCCCCATCTCCTGTCACCTATGACCTCCTTATATACACCCGGTGCAGCTAAACCCCGCCACCCAGTGTTCATAAATAATATTGCACTATACATATAACTTAAATAAACTGACACACCAACATCACCCACAAAATGGCTCCTACACACCGGCCCCTAATTGGCTTTAGTATGAAAACAAAAACAATTACCAATAAATAATAAAGGAGCTATACAAATGGTGTGTATGTGTTAGCATGTAATTCTTAAATAATTTTTAGTTTATTTTCTTCTCCCTTATTTTAAGGGTCATCAGTCTTTGCTGTTCTTAGGTTGAAGCAGTAGTGTTGCCATCCCGTCCAGCGCCGAGAGAACCTGTGGGTTATATTTTCACCCAATTCCAAGCCTCTCCTTATAGGGCTCCTGCATTGATGAGTCAGTCACTTCTTCAGGTCTGTCACTTGGGTTCAGCCGGTGCCCTGCTACCATAGCAGCAAAATCGCAGATGAGCTGCTTGGTAACGTGTTTGTTGTTAGGCAAGCTGGGATTTTCTTGTCTGAATGGCAAGTCTAGGCAGTAGTGTCCATCTGACATTTTCACTTTCTCGGCCACAGGCTTGGCTTCTTCCTCAGGCACTGCGTCAGATTGGTGTAACTCGACATCTGCTGTGAAGTCAGGCATGCTGTGACAGGAGTCTGAAGTCGGCTGGCTTTCAAAAGGCTCGTCTTCTGCCTCTTCATAGTAATCACCTGAATCCCGACCCTCATCTTCTTCTTCTTGGGGGGCCTCAGTTTTGCCTTCAACATCCCTATCACTGTCTCCTTTGGCATCTGCTACAACATCGCCATCCTCTTTGGCATCTGCTACAACATCGCCATCCTCTTTGGCGTCTGCTACAACATCTCCATCCTCTTTGGCGTCCGCTACAACATCGCCATCCTCTTTGGCTTCTGACATGTTTGCAGAGTGATTCATAATGTTCAGGAATTGTTTGTCTTCTCTGGACATTTCCTCTGTTTCCTTGCTTGTATTTTCCTTGAAATCATGCTTGTATTGTTTGACCAATAGCTCCTCTAGGTGTACCATGGCTATCCGATTGACAGTAGCAACAGGGTGGCCATTAGCATCTCTGCTGTCGTTGCTTCCTTTTAGGGGACCATAGAAGACCCACCCCAGTAGGGTCTTTGCAGCGTACGGTCCTTCTCCTTGGCTATTGATCAGCTCCCAAGGTTCCAATACCTTAGGAGAATTTGTCCCAATGAGTAGGTCAATGCCAGAAGCAATTTCATTAATTTTGATGTCCTTTAAGTAAGGCAATTTTTCCAGATCTTCTTGTAGAGGAATATTGTGCTTGGAAACAGGCATGGTTTTATGTGTAAACACATCGGATAGTTGAAGGAAATTGTTTTCGTCCAGACTCGATATTTCCAAACCTGAGATATGATGACTAGACACAATCTTTCTCTGATTCATTGTCTTTAGGAGAATGTTAGTCCTTTGTCCTGTAAGGTTTAGCCTCCTCATTAAACTTTCTGTGCAAAAGGTGGATGAACTTCCATGGTCCAGAAATGCATAAGTTTGTAACACTTTGTCCCCTTTGTGGCTCTTTACTTGTACAATGGAGAAGATGGAGTTTTCATCACCGGCCCCAATGTGACCACATGTATGAGGTGAGATGACACTATTACTTTCCATTGGCTTCCCATTCTGTTTTGTGTGTTCTGCTTCCTCTCTTTTGCCTTTTTGTTCAATGTGGAGTATTTCAGGATGACTTTGATTGCACACATAACATGTCAAACGACTGTGGCAGTGTTTGCTCATGTGTCCTATTTTTAGGCATCCAAAACACACCCCTTTTCCTTTCAAGAAGTCCATTCTTTCTCTGTGTGTTTTCTTCAGGATGTGTGGACACTGCTCCAATGAGTGACCACTTCTTCTGCAGAACAAACACACATGTAGGGAGTTGTGGCTTGATGGAGGTATTTTCATTCCATTCGTTGTTACATGTTCTAGCACTGGTGTTCTTGGGCAGGTAATAATTGTTGCAAAACTACTTGCTCTTAGGCTTGGTTTTCCCTTTGAAAAGGTAGAGATAACAATTTTGATAGCTGCAGTTGGTTTATCATCCTGGATGCTTCCAAACAGAGGATCTGACAGTATCTTCACTTGCCTCTCTATGAAGCTAACAAGGTCAGGAAATGTAGCTCAATGCCCACACTCTTCCTGTAGCTGACATGCTCTATTCCTCCACTTGTCTCTGAATTATGTGTTTCATGTTTGAAACAACATTCATTTCATCCATATAGGTGAGATGTTCCATTGCATTGCAACAACCTCTTAGGAACAAAGAGAAGGCTTGCAGTGCTTTCACATCTTCGGCTTTGATCATTGTCCAGGTAAATGCTTTGTTCATGTATGCAGTGGCGATCTTATGTTCATTACCAAAGTGCTCTTTAAGCAGCTGTTTTGCCCTTTGATAACCTTGAGCTGGAGGCAGATGTTGGCAGCTGCGCACTAGGTCCTGTGGTTGTCCTCTAGTGTATTGCTCTAGGTCAGTCTTTCTCAAAGAGTGGTCCGCGGACCACTGGTGGTCCGCGAGCGGCCCCAAGTGGTCCGTGAGTATATTGGTAAAATGCCACATTTGAAATTCATATATATTATAAGTTTAAAGTGTTTCTCAAACTGTTAAAAAATTACTAGTATAGAGTGTATCATAGATGTAGTGTATGTACGTAGGTACGTAGGTACGTACGTTTGTTTTACGTCTTATGTCATAAATAATCTGCGCGGTCAATTTGAGCGGTCAACTAAAAAAAATAAACAAAAGAACGGTCAACTGACAAGATGGATCGATGGCTAAAGACAGGGTCAGTTAAAAGAAAATTAAATGAAAAATCGGATGCAACAGTCAAGGTGCATCGTCCTGATGCAGGTGATTCAGCAGCAACAAGTGCTTTTGTGTGCGTTACTGAGTCCCAGGAGAGTGGTTCACTGTCTAATAACCACCCGGCTGAAAGCTGTGAAACTCGGCTTGAATGCAGAAAGTCCAGCGCTAAAGTGAAGAGAAAATATCACAGCGACTACATCAAATTTGGCTTTTTTTTGGAGTGGAGATGAAGAGGATCCCAATCCACAATGTGTTTTGTGCTACGAGTCGTTGGCGAACGAGGCTATGAAACCTGCCAAGCTCAAGCGACATTTTGAAAGTAAACACAAGGATTACATTGGGAAACATTTGGGAGTTTTTGAGAGAAAACTTGATGAATTTAAGAAACAAATGACGAAGGCGCCCTCACAGTTTTTTGTACCGGGGGAAAATGCGAAGGCTACAGAGGCATCATACAGGGTATCCCTTCTAATTGCAAAAGCAGGAAAACCTCATTCGATAGGTGAGAATTTAGTCAAACCAGCTGCCAAAGTTATGACTAACATATTGTTTGGGGAGACCGCAAGTGACGAAATTAACAGGGTCCCACTCTCTAATGACACTGTCCAGCGGCGAATAACAGCCATGGCTGAAGATGTGAAAAATCAGCTGATCACACGTTTACGCCAAAGCCAGTTTTTCACACTGCAGCTGGACGAGTCAACTGATATCGGGAACGAGGCAAATCTGCTGTGTTTTGTAAGGTATATTCATGCTGGCGGTGTGCAGGATGAATTTCTTTTTTGTCGTTCCTTGCCGACCAACACCACAGGGGAAGCCATTTTTGACTCGGTCAACAATTTCATGGTGCAGAATCATATCGACTGGACACGATGTGTTGGTATTTGCACAGATGGTGCGACTGCAATGACTGGAAAACATAAGGGACTGGCAGCGCGCATACGCGCAGTTGCACCTTGCGCCACAGCAACACACTCACATTCACAGAGAACAGCTGGCTGTGAAGAAAATGCCACCATGCCTCAAATCAGTACTGGACCAGTCTGTGAAAATTGTGAATACAATAAAAACCAAAGCACTGAACACACGTCTTTTTAAAGCTCTGTGTGAAGAAATGGGAAGTGAACACACAAAACTGCTTTTTCATACTGAAGTTCGCTGGCTGTCGCGTGGGAAAGTTCTCACCCGTCTATTTGAACTGCGCGATGAGGTGATGTTATTCTTGCATCATACTGATGAACTGTATGACAGACTGCATGACTTCCAGCAGTGCTTGAATTGGAATGAAAAAGGTGCCAGTACTCTAAAATCAGCAACTTTTTCAAGTCAATTTTATATATACAGCCCACAAACAAGAATTTGGCTACTATAATGCTGGTGGGTTTGTCTCTTTACTACTGTATATTTTAGAAAGGTTCACTGTACTTAACATTTTTTATGATAGGCAGCGGATATGGCTAAAGCTCAGTAAGGTCAATATTAACTGAAAATATAGCAATCAAAGTCTAGATCTTCTGCTGAAGACACATGAAGCAGAGACCTTTCAGGTGAGAGCCCCTCTGGTGGTGTTCAACATTAATGACAAGGAAACAAAGCTCTGGTCAGAAGCATTTTTTATAAAAAGCTTTAACAAAATTAAGTATTTCTGTACATTTTGAATGCAATCTAACTTTCCAACTCAGAAAACGAAAAACGAAAAAGTGCCAAAAGTCTTCTCACATGGCTGAGCTGCTTTGCAATATACTTCACCACTGAAGAATACAAATATGTATAAAGTAAACTATGATGCAATCTAACTTTCCAACTCAGAAAAATGATAAAGAGCATGAACAAAGAACATGTAAAAACAAATGCAAAATTTGCACAATCTAAAATGAGAAACTGTAACTGCAAGTAACAAAGTCTGAGCCATGGTAAAGAGTTACATTGAACACCAAGCTGATCAGATAACTCCCTGGTTGGTCTGAAGTCCTTCTATCTCCAGGATCTGTACAAATCGGCACATTATGCCAAAAGTCTTCTCACTGGGTGAGCTGCTTTGCAATATACTTCACATTGTTAGAAAAGGCTCCAGAAGGCCTTGGGGACATCAGTATCAGGGGCTGGAGCTGGACAGGCTCTTTCATCAGCACTTCTCCTTCCCTTTGCCAGCCAGGACCTCACATACTGTTCCAGATTGAACTGTCCTAGTGATGGTCCATTACATTTAATGAAAACCAGGCTGGACAGTCGGCTGACAGAGAGAGCATTCCTTTTTGCAGTAAGGATATCGTTCATGCAGCTGAATGCCCACTCACACTCACTAGTGGAGACAGCGATGGTTCGGACTGCTTTCAGTAGAGGCTCCATGGCAGCAGGTGTACGGGATGCCCTGGTTTCCTTGTATTCGCGAAAGCCCTGAACAGTCTCTCTTCTGTCCACTTTCAGCACTTCGCACAAACGTAGCACCTCTACGTCCCCATACTGTACGTCTAACTCCTCTTCAGGCCAACTTCCAGGATGGATAACTTTCATGTCCTGGATTAGCTGATTGTCCCGGGCCTCCCGGCCATGTAATGGGATTTCTCTTGTGCTGACATGAGAGGAGGTTGTGGAAGTCATTCTGTGTCTCAGATTCTCTACCATACTGCGGAAAAACTGACCTGCATGAATCTGTACAAGCCTGCCATTCTCACGCAGGGCAACACCCTTGAAGGACTTCTCAGCTAGAGCTGTATGAACTGTAGTCATGTGTGGGCCAGGCATGGTGACCATGGATTCAAAAACTCGTATTTCTCGAGTTAAGAGCCTATCTGCTGTAGGCAGTGTCATCTCTCTTTTTTGGAGTTGCCGAGAGAGGTCGCTGAGCTCTGTGAGCGCATCGTACATCAGTCCCAGATTGCTGACAAACGTTGCAGATGTGAGCACATCATCCAGGCCCTTGTACTTTGCTCTGTCTCTGGAATCCCTGCTCGTGTCGTTTACAGCATTTGTGAAGTGATCATGAAGCACTCGGTAGTTTTCCCAGACTGCTCTGACGCTCCTTTCACTTGAAGCCACCCAGCGGATGGACAAAACACGCCCTATCACCAGGAGACGCTGTCCGACTGCTTGCGCACACTGCGCTAACTGCCTCTGATTTTTGGGGGAGGCATGGAACAAGGAATAGAGTTTGTCAAAAAAGATCTGGAAATGATTGAGCCCTGAGACCTCCTTGACCACATCCCCAACTGCCAGCTCTAGACGATGATTGGAGCAGTGCCACACAAACAGGCTTGGGAATTTACTACACAACTGGGTAGCAACGCCTGTTCTCTTCCCTAGCATGACTGAAGCCCCATCACATGCAAAAGAAACGAAACACTGACCTAAAAAGTCCTCGTTAAAATCTCTTCCAAGACACTCCATTAACGCCTTTGTGATGTCATCAGCTGTTGTTCCATCCAACTCGATCAGCTCCCAAAAAAACGTTTCGGGCTCAGCATCAGCTAATGCTGAGCGTAGACACACAACAAGCACCGTTTTACCACTAATAGTGGTAGATTCATCGACCAAAACACAGAGTTTTCTTTGGTTTTCTGTAATGTCTTTTGCCATTTTTTTCTTCAGCTCATGAGCTATGTGGTCGATGATTTCGCCACAGGTTTTATTGGAGTGCAAAACCCTGCCCACGTTCAGCCCATTCAGTTTCTGTACATTCAAATCAATTGGCATGTCTGTGAATGGCCGGCTATGTTTGCCAATTGTATACGCCGTTCGAAAAACTCTGATAGTGGTGTCTAATTCAGATTTATGCATAGACTGCACTTGATGTTGAATAGTTTCACGTGAAGCAGATGTAAGGATGTCAGCAGCTTTTACATGGGCTTGTGATTCTTTATGTTCTTTGATTTTTTTTCTCAGGCTAGCTTGTTGTTTGCCCTTGTCAACACCGAAATGAGACACTACACACTCACCCCATTCAGTTGACAGTTTCAGTCCTTGTCCAGTGTGTATTCCCAAAGATTTGACATCTCTGCATATCCGACATCCTAGCTTCTTATCTTTAAGAAGGAGCCATGCATTGGTCTTGCAAAAATATTGCACCTGGTCCGTTGTCCAGCAGTCAGGTGCATCGCTTTGCCCGGTGTTGGTGGTGGCAGTTGCGCCAGCAGCAGCTAACGTTAGAGGCGGCGGAGGAGGCGGCGGAGCTAGTGCTAATGCACTAGAACTTGGAGCAGGAGGATCAACCAAAGAAAGCTCCCCATCAGACACAATTTCCAACACAGGCACAGCATTCTCTGTATTTGAAGTTTCTTCCGGCGACAACCGCTGTCTTTTTGCACTTTTATTAATCCACGCTAACATTTTAGAAATGCTAATTTGTGACGTGACTTGCTTTCCTTCTCTCGGGGGCGTGCCTGCTCTGTTCTATCACTCTACATAGCCACCCACTGGGTGGGAGTTGCACTGCATAAACACAACACACGTGCATCTAGGTATGTACATTGTAAAGCATTAAAACATGGTTTTACTAACAGTTTTCAGTATGTTGTTACTTCGGCATTATTATTATTATTATTTTGAAACGTGTATTACTATTAAATCACGGTCAAATAGGTTAATTTTGACATAGTCGTTTCCACCACAGTATTTACATGGAGAAGATAAGCCCCGCCCCCTCTCCAGCACGTTCTGTTTGAATGACAGGAGTAAACAGCTGACAGCCGCTGTGAAACTCCAGCGGTTAGAGCGATGAGAATGTCCGTTCGGCACCTCATGACGCATCTACTGAGTACCGGGCGGCTGTATATATATATATGGATGTATAATAAGAACGGCGGGAGAGTGTTGAGTACTGGCACGGTGCATGAGTACCGGAGTACCGCCAGCATGCCGGTACTGAGCAAGAAGTGCCGGTACTCCATGGGTCAGAACCAGAAGTGCCGGTACTGCGTACTGGTGAGTACCGGCCCAATTCCAGCACTGACTTCCAGTGGCTCTCACAATTGGCATACCTGGCCGATGTCTTTAGCGTTCTCAATGCTCTGAACTTAGCGCTGCAGGGGAAAGCTGTTACTGTTTTCAATGTGCAGGACAAAATTAAAGCTGCACGCCTCAAGATGGAATTGTGGTGTGTCCGTCTGGATCGCCAGGAGTTTGACTGTTTTCCGACGCTGGCGGATTTTCTCCTCGCTGCAGATGAAGAGCTGGACGGCGGCACAGTTGCAGCCTTCAAGGAACATCTGCAAGGCCTTCACTTTCAGCTGGGAAGATATTTCCCAGAACTAGATGCAGGCTTTGAGTGGATCAGGAATCCATTTGGGGACAAAACACACATTGAACATGTCAGTTCCAAGCTCCCACCGAGACAGGTTGACAGCCTTGTGGACATCGCATCTGATGGGCCACTGAGGACGACTTTCAGAGAGAAAAGCTTGACAGACTTTTGGGTCCACGTCCAGCCTGAGCACCCAGAGCTGGCTGACGCTGCTCTGAAACAGTTGATGCCGTTTCCAACCACCTACAACTGTGAAGCTGGTTTTTCTGCACTTGTTGGTCTGAAAACAAAGCAGCGTAACAGGATCAATGTGGACTGTGATATGAGACTACAACTCTCCAGTTTGGATCCCGACATTGTTTCACTGATGTCTCAGCACAAGCAGCACCATTCCTCCCATTAGTTGGCAACAGAGACACGCAGTGTATGAGTGAGTAAACAATGCTATTTGTAAATGTAACAGTGTAAATAATTATCTTGTGTTTATTGTTAAATTCCTATTTAACTTGGGACTGCAACCATAGTTTTACTGTATTTTATTTTGAAAATCCGCAGCGGAAGTTTGTCGTACTAAATGCGGTGTATTTTGCATATCTCTCAGTAGCAAACGATCTTGCTGTCAGTAAATTGCGGCTCTGTTCGCACGGACATTAACTCCATAATAAATGTAGTCTACGTTTCATATGATGTGTCAAATCTATCAGCATTTACCGTTTAAATCGCATATGAACAAAATGCTTGTAGAATCTGTAGTTGTTTTGTATTGTCGATTAATGTGTGAACGAGCGATAGAGAAGTTCACACAAAGTTGTCATTATGCTGTAATTTTTAATATACTGTTGGAGTGGTAAACAGGCTTATTATTTTATTTAGGATATTTGGGGAGTTAGGTGGTCCGCGAGTGTTTTATTATTGACTAAGTGGTCCGCGGTCTGAAAAAGTTTGAGAAACACTGCTCTAGGTAATGCAGGCAGTCACTTTCATCATTAGTTTTCCGCTCTACTCCTCTTTCAAATGCACGGATGAAAGCTTCAAACTGCAATGGGTCACCGTCATAAACAGGAATGTCTCTTGGAGGTAAAGTAGAAGTGAGATGTTGTTGAGCCAGCATAGCAGTGTTGTCATTTTGCCTCTGGATTAGGTTATAGATGTCACCTTGATTACCATTGTTGATTACAGGTGGTGTGATGTCAACATGTCCCTGCACATGTGTCTGTATACTTTGTCTGGGAATAGAGGTTTGGGCTTGATGAGGCAAGAATTCAGTGGCCTGTGCGTTAAATCTTGCTGTAGGGTTTCTGTAGTAAGAGCTCATCCCATCTGATGCTCTAGAGGTGTGTCTTGATCCCATGCTGAGCACGTTTAGCCTGGCATTGGCTTCTGCCAGCTTAGTTTGTATATCCAGTTGTTCCTTTTTCCGTTTCACCTGTTCTTCCTGTTGTTCCAACTGTTGTTTCTGTTGTTGTTTCAACTGTTGTTTTAATTGTTCCCCTTCTACATCAAGCTCATGTTGTTTGTTCAGTGCTGCCGCCCTTTCGATTAAAGCTGCCCTTTCTGCCTGGGCTTTAATTCGAGCAGAAGAGGTAGATGATGCGTGTGATGAACCAGGTTTGTATTTTGACTGAGGGTGTGATGCATTTGAAATGCTGTCATCAGGTCCGATGTCATCTGAGCTGACACTTTGTTCTATTGCACTTCCCACAATAGAGTGTCTAATTGCCTGTCCACTCTCAGATAACCACACATTTGCATCTTGTATAAATCCATCAAATATATGCATCTTTTCTTGCAGCCACTGCCTTTGCTTTCCCATTTCTTCTTCAGGCAGTTGAAGGTCAGTTAATGATTTGTGATTTTCTTTTAGTTCATCACACAACTTCTTAAATTCAACCAGTTTCAACTGTATTTCCTTTGCATTGTCTTCTGAGCTCATAAGCTCTTTCAGTACTTCCATTAACTTCTTTACTTGTTTGTAACTGAAGTTTCTTGCTTTTTGGCAGTTTGCAATAAACAATTCCAATCCTTTGGCAGTGTGAGTGATAATCCTTTTGTCTCTCACAGATTGCAGTCCAACAGCGCCATCTTGTGACGTGACGTCAGATGTCACAGACATGATTAATGTTCACTGTCCCTTTAAGTTTCGTTCTCAGGAATTGTCCGTTAGCTGACAGCGCGCTGTTTCAAACAGCTGACAATGTTGCAGCACCACATCCATTTACTAAGCCATTGTCCAATACAGCTTAATATCTCCAAAACAATCTACTTATCATGCTGCACGGTGCACATACCCGGCCGCTTTCCCAGTCCTCTCTCAGCCTCCTCGGTCCTCGCAGGTGGGAACAATCTCCAGCTGATTGTGGCGTGTGCAGCTGATCCGTGATGAGAAGTCGATGGTGCAATAATCCAATTATTTGTTTTCCCCGAAAACGATCCTTAATCCAATTTGAAGTGAATCCAATTGTCCAGTTTCACTCAAAAGTTCGATTCCACTTAATGTAATGGCAATTTCCTTTTCCTATGTCCTATATATTTTTGCCGTTACTTTCACAGAAGGGTTGAAAAGTGATCCAGACGCAGACACAAACAGATGATTTTCCGGTCCTTAGTTGTGGTTTATGATGATGTTTATTCGTCTTTACATACCAGGGTTAATTTAGCGTTCTAGTGATTCTTATGAGCATCTGCCGGGCTGGTGGAATCGGTATGCTCTTCTCCTACTGTGTCCCCCCATCTCCTGTCACCTATGACCTCCTTATATACACCCGGTGCAGCTAAACCCCGCCACCCAGTGTTCATAAATAATATTGCACTATACATATAACTTAAATAAACTGACACACCAACATCACCCACAAAATGGCTCCTACACTCATGTTGACTGTTCAGTGCTGCCGCCCTTTCGATTAAAGCCGCACTTTCTGCCTGGGCTTTAATTCGAGCAGAAGAGGTAGATGATTCATGTGATGAACCAGTTTTGTGTCTTGACTGAGGGTGTGATGCCTTTGAAACGCTGTCATCAGGTCCGATGTCATCTGAGCTGACACTTTGTTCTATGGCACTTCCCACAATAGTGTGTAATTGCCTGTCCACTCTCAGATAACCACACATTTGCATCTTGTATAAATCCATCAAATATATGCATCTTTTCTTGCAGCCACTGCTTTCCCATTTCTTCTTCAGGCAGTTGAAGGTCGGTTAATGATTTGTGATTTGCTTTTAATGCATCACACAACTTCATAAATTCAACCAGTTTCAACTGTATTTCCTTTGCATTGTCTTTTGAGCTCATAAACTCTTTCAGTCTTTCCATTAAATTCTTTACTTGATTGTAGCTGAAGTTTCTTGCTTTTTGACAGTTTGCAATAAACAATTCCAATCCTTTGGCAGTGTGAGTGATAATCCTTTTTTCCCTCACAGATTGCAGTCCAACAGCGCCATCTTGTGACGTCAGATTTTACAGACATGATTAATGTTCACTGTCCCTTTAAGTTTCGTTTTCAGGAATTGTCCGTTAGCTGACAGCGCGCTGTTTCAAACAGCTGACAACGTTGCAGCATTACATCCATTTACTAAGCCATTGTCCAATACAGCTTAATATCTCCAATACAATCTACTTATCACGCTGCACGGTGCACATACCCGGCCGCTTTCCCAGTCTTGCTCTCAGCCTCTTCGGTCCTCGCAGGTGGGAACAATCATAGATATATATATAAACACTAGATGGCTCATGGGAGATTTTCCAGCGTAGCTGACCGGCCGCCATCTTGCTACAGTCAACAGTTTGATTTGCGCTATGGTAGCTGTTGTAAGGTGAGTGATCTGCACAAAAATACTCTTAACTCGCTGAAATCTTGACTGATTTACAAACGGTTTGGTTTATTATAAACATTATTAGCATGGCTATGATACAGGATGCTTGGACATGTTGAAATTGCAGCTTTTCTTTGTATATGTGGTTGTATTTATTAGCTGGCTAATAACAAGAGGCTGTGAGTGAGACCTATATTACAAAGTTGACCCAGCAACTTTACACCAGTGGGAGAGGCAGAACTGCTCTTTCTTTTCAACATAACTTAAGTTACACATGATTTCTTCCAAGTGGTTTGGCTTGTTAAAAACATATTGCATTATGATACAGGAATTTGCTGGCTTTGTGTTTACAGAAGTACCTGACTATGCCGGACTTTTGTGCAGCCTACGGCTGCTCTAATCACCGCAGTCTGCAAACAAGAACCCGTGGGATCACCTTTCACCTGTAAGATATGACAATATTATGACTAAAATTAGGATAATCGTTAATTACTTAGTGGATGTATGTACATTACAAGTCCTGCTACACAGGATCAGTGGGGCTATGTGAGATAATAGTATTGCAAGATTGTTGTTGACCCAGCCTCTTTAGAATATGTTGCTATCATTTCTTTACACAATTATTTAATGTTTCTTTTGGACACCTTTTTTATTACTCTTAGTGTGGTTGTCTTATTCTTAAAGTAGGCTATACATACATACCAAAAATATGATAATTTCGGTGTGTATTTTTGTCCTTACCCTTAATGTTAAAGGAAAGAAGGGAGGAAAATGTTGACAATAATTTATATATCTGGCTACCTTTCTCATGTTTTTAAGGTTTAAGGCAGTGGGAACTCGCCCTAAGAAGAGACGGTTTTGTTTCCTGTGACAGGACACTGCTCTGCAGTGAGCACTTCAGGAGTGAGGAATTTGACCGGACAGGGCAGACTAATGGCGAATCGCTACCACTAGGAGCATATATCGCCACCTACTATGTATTTATTAAATCTTCATGTTCCATGAGACGCAGCACTATGTTCCCCACATATGTTTATGTTTGCTCAGTCTAATAAACCCATAACATGGTTGTGAAAGAATACCAAAGCTGAGGCTGGACGATGATTGATTGTTGGTGTGCCATGTGTCACCGTGTGTCTTATTGGTTTTGTGTTATACTGTATTTTATTGTGTGCAGCTGGTCCTTATCTCCAAGACACATTTAAAACAAATAACCTTGAACCTTGAAGCCCCATCTCTCCCCACCTGCTCCTGCTTCCTACATCCCCTCCACACCACACCAAGTTGTTCTTCTTAATAATAATAATAATAATAATAATACATTTATTTTGGGGGGCCGCCTTTCCCAAGGACCCCTTACAGGGGCATAGGGGCAATATAGGGAACAATTTAAACAGTGAATTTTGTGATATATCAGCCGGGGTGAGACAAGACAAACCACAAATGGACTACAGAAGGACACATGGTACAGTTTATATTATTCTTGGTCTTTTTTCAATAACATATTTCAAAGGTTCTGGATTTGTTTACAAATCTAGAAACTAAATACAAAACTAGTATAGTAATATGAAGATCTCATGTCAAAAATAATTGTGATAAATTAGACAGAACTGGCCTGTCTGTGAGCACATTTTATGTTGGTTTGGTTCTTCTGATAAAGGTGTGAATATCTAAATAATATAACAACATATGCTATTGTCATTAGTTGTGTCCCTGTTCTTAAAGCTAAGGCATTGCTAAATTAACAACTCTTGGCTTACAGAGTGGTAACATGAGACCAGGGGCGGATCTAGACAAATATTCATGGGGTGGCAAGAGGGTGGCAGGAGATTTTGAGGGGTGGCATCCCCTGGCAGAAGTATATGCTGATTTAAATCGCAGTGTAACGGTACACGTACTGACATTATTCGGTACGGGCCCTTCGGTTCGGTACACGTGTGAACCGAAGGGTACCGAACGAATATAACGTTAAATGTAAAAAATTGAGAACATGAACAACTTTCTGGAAGTAATCTTAGGTATATATCATAGAGCGACCAAGTCATTTCATTGGACGAGAGGCATACTATAAGAGCTGGTCACAGGGATGCGTTCAAATGTAGTCAGTAATTTGAGGAACTATCCAAATGGTGAACGCAGATAAAGTTGAGCTCAAAAATCCTCCAGCATCATTGAAGTCTCTTTGGGAACATTTTGGTTTCGCAGTTACGAACAAGGATGACGGACAAAGACAGCTGGACCGAACCAAAGCTGTTTGTCGGCATTGTTCAACTAACATTGGTTACGCGGCTGGCAATACATCAAACTTGCACACTCATTTGAAAAGGCATCACCCGAACGTGAATATCACCGGTACCAAAAGAAAAAAGACTGAAGTGCAAACCCAACTCCCGCTAGCATGTAAGCCTCCACCACTCGCAGAGAGTTCAGACCGAGCCAACGCTATTACAAACGCCAAATATCCTTATGTTGCCATGTTAGCAAAGCGCTACCTGGCTGTGTCTGCTACCTCTGTCCCTAGAGAGGGTGTTCTCCACAGCAGGAGACATTGTTGGTGCCAGCAGATCTGCCCTTTCAGCAGCAATGTGGACAAGTTCATCTTTCTTTAAACAACATGAAAATACAATGAAAAGCAAGTCCTAATGTCAACCTGGCTGCTTAGGTACAGTACAGTTCAAATACAGATCATTTCAGTTCATCGACATGCTGCACCTTAATGTTTATTTTATTATATTTTGTATTTATTTGAGTGAATATTCACAGTTTAATAATAATTAAAAAAAGTTTAATGTTGTGAGAATTTGTTCTGCTGTACTGAACCGAACCGTGACCTAAAAACCGAGGTACGAACCGAACCGAAATGTTTGTGAACCGTTACACCCCTACAATCAATGTTAACTTGGAAAGCCACAATATTAATATTTTAACTCAATGACATTAGGTGATATTATTGTGGCACATCAGTAAAGCCTTACATATGTAAGGTGGCAGACGTAATTTAATGAATTTTAACTGAACAATAACTGAATGAGTTTGTTTCAATCTTAGACCAGCAGGGGAACCAAATATATGCACTGCTGCAATAAGTACATTAATTAACTGTCTCATCGATGTTTGTCTGAATGAATATGATACTATTAACAATCATATTATTCCTATCAGCTGTCAATCACTGTTATGATTCACATATTCATTTATTATTGAATAAACTATATTTTTTGGAGGAGTTAATGATGAATGTTCATCAAGATGCTTGCTCACCCTCCTTCAAATTTGAAAAACAAGTAATTATATCATTATTGATATACAGTTACAACCTTGACTTTACATCAGAAAGAACAAACATTAAAGAAGTGACTAACTGCCTCAGTTAGGGTTAGAAAACGTGTATTCAGCTAAAACATCGCTGCAGTTATTATCCAGTGGAAGGTCCTTATCTACTGGCCTAGTTAAATCAAAGTGGTTACTTTCTGTTGGCTGGGCAGTGTAGTTTTACACACCGTCTGATTTTACTTCCTCAGGACTTAAAACTGTTTTTTGGGGGCAGACCCCCACAAAGAAAAAAAAAATATACACGCATACAAGGTCATCATCTTAAGAGTTTGTTATGCTCATCGAGTCATCCGTGAGCAGAGCATCAAGTTGGCATGCCTATTACAGCTGAATGCGGCGATTACCATTTTGTTCAGCAAAACGCCTCACAAATGTATTAAGATCCAAAGCTTTAGTGCGTTTTGATTCAATGCTGAGTACAGCCAAACTTGACATTCTCTTTTCTGTAATTGTAGATCGCAACTACCTCATTCCTTCCGTCTACTTGGGTCCGAAATGCTTCTCGTTTTGCGCCGTCCACCGTTCAACTGAATTCGCCATCAATCATATTTCCAGTCTCGCGCCAGGGCAGGGGGAGGGGTTACAAGACTCGCGTCTTGTGCTGCATTCACTTGCACTCGGACATTAGAGATTTTCTCTCATAAATGTCCGATGAGCCACAACTTTTCTTTCAAAACAAAGATGCCAACTGGGGTGGCAGCTGGGGTGGCAAGGCTATTGTTTAGGGTGGCAGTTGCCACCCCATGCCACCCCGGTAGATCCGCCCCTGCATGAGACCGATTTTTATATATAAAATATAAATGTATTTTAATTTTATAATTTATTTTAAATATTAACAATATAATAAAATTAATGGAAATATATACGCCGGCAAGTGTGTGTGTGTGTGTGTGTGTGTGTGTGTGTGTGTGTGTGTGTGTGTATGTATGTATAGCTATAGCTATTGCTTTATCTGATTAATGTTATTTTCATATGAAAGTCCATGATTATAAGTATGCAGTATCATAACTACATCTTTGATGTTTATAAAAAACCAAACCGTTTGAAAATTGAGCAAGCTATGGTTATTTAAATAGTAAACCATAATGTTATGAATGAGAGAACTGCCTGTAGCAAGATGGCGGCCAAGTGGCAACGTCGGTCTCCATTGGCCAGCAGCGCGGGTGAGTCATCTAGTGTTTATATATATCTATGGGAACAATCTCCAGCTGATTGTGGCGTGTGCAGCTGATGTCGATTGTGCATTAATCCAATTCGAAGTGATTCTTATTGTCCAGTTTCACTCAAAGAGTGCGATTCCACTTAATGTAATGGCAATTTTCTGTTCCTATGTCCTAGATATTCTTGCCGTTACTTTCACAGAAGGGCTGAAGAGTGATCCAGACGCAGACACAAACAGATGATTTCCGGTCCTTTGTTGAAGTTTATAATGTTGTTTATTCAGCTTTACATACCAGGGTTAATTGTACGGTTTCTAATTGTTGTGATGAGCATCTGCCGGGCTGGTGGAATCGGTATGCTCTCTTCCTCCTGTGGCCACACCTCTCCTGTCACCTATGACCTCCTTATATACACCCGGTGCAGCTAAACCCCGCCACCCAGTGTTCATAAATAATATTGCACTATACATATAACTCAAATAAACTGACACACCAACAACACCCACAAAATGGCTCCTACAAAGTGACTAACTGCATCAGTTAAGGTTAAAAAACGTGTATTCAGCTAAAAACATATACATCGCTGCAGTTATTATCCAGTGGAAAGTCCTTACCTACTGGCCTAGTTAAATCAAAGTGGTTACTTTTTTTTGGCTGGGCAGTGTAGTTTTACACACCGTCTTATTTGACTTTCTCAGGACTTGAAACAGGGACAGACCCCCTCAAAGAAAAAAATATATACACACATAAGGTCATCATCTTAACAGTTGTTATGCTCATCGAGTCATCCGTGAGCAGAGCATCAAGTTGACAGCTGAATGTGACGATTACCATTTTGTTCAGCAAAACGCCTAACAAACTTATTAAAGGTCCCATGTCATGGCCATTTCCACTGATCATAATTCCATTGTTGAGGTCTACTAGAATAGATTTACACTGTACAATTTTCCAAACTCACATTGGTTTCGCATACAGCATCTCTGTAAAGTATGTGTATTCAGCAGTATTCACTCTCTCCACTAAACGGCTCGTTGCAGCTCTTGCCCCCCCCCTCCCTGTGGGCCCAGTGTGCTCCGATTGATCGGGACCAGTCGGGACGTTGTGAATAGCGCTGAGCTCCGTGGAGGTGTGATTTCCTTGTTTAGCGATACACAGCGAAACACAGCCAAACTCACCCTGAGCACACACATAGTCACAGCCGAAGTAAAAACAAGAAGTGTGGCTTGATATTGAGTAAGACAAAGGTTGATAAACGCTGTGAGAATGGGTCTGCAGAGAGAATTTCGCCGCGATCCCAACTGTCTGTTATCAGCCTGCAGCCAGGGAGGAGAAATCAGCAGAGTGTGTGAGGAGGAAGTCCGTGGATTGGTCAATTTGGACCAATCAGCGGGGGCTTAACGTAACGGCTCCACGGACGTAACGTAACAGCTCCACGGATTGGTCCATTTCGTTCCGGGGACGACATGACATCATGATGTACCCGGAAGAATCAAATGGACAATGACGTATCTCCAACGAGGCGTTTTGGGGAGGTATTTTCTGTGTTAGAGTTTTACTCGCTACTACAGGGTGTACTTTGAGGGTTTTGACTCTGCACACCATTTACATGCATACAAACCTTCATAACACACAAGGGGACGGGTACTAACCGGAAAAGCATGACATGTCACCTTTAAGATCCAAAGCTTTAGTGCGTTTTGATTCAATGCTGAGTACAGCCAAACTTGACAGTCTCTTCTCTGTCATTGTAGACCGCAAATACCTCATTCCTTCCGTCTACTTGGGTCCGAATCATAGACTGTCCGAATCCGAATGCTACTCGTTTTGCGCCGTCCCGTTCAAATGAAATGGCCGCCAATCATATTTCCATGCTCGCGCCAGGGAGGGGTGACAAGACTCGCGTCTTGTGCTGCATTCAGACATTAGGGATTTTCTCTCATAAATGTCCGATGAGCCACAACTTTGATTCCAAAACAAAGCTGCCAACTGGGGTGGCAAGGCTATTTTTTAGGGTGGCAGTTGCCACCCCGGTAGATCCGCCCCTGGCCATATCTACACTTGTACCCAAAGCTGGTTATCACATCGAGCAGTGGTTGGTATTTGATATACTTGTCCTGGAAAGCCTGGTCCATGTACAGGTCAAAGGCACAGCCTACTTCTAATATTAGAACCTCCTTGTGGTTGGTGTCAACAAAAACAACATCAAGTGTATTTGGGGTATTAGCAAAGACATCATTGGTAAAACAAAACCATTCTGATAACATGCGCGCACACACGCACGCGCACACGCACACACACACACAGCTGTAAACCCTGAGCCAGGGGGGAGAGACTCTGCTCCCTACTGTCTCCCTCTGCTGGCTCATTTTCGTGGATGGCCTGGATGTTTGCTTTGATGTGGAGAGGAGAGAGGGAGGGGGGGGGGCTTGGGTAGTTTACAACCGGCAGCTATTTTTTGACAATATAGCTTTTGTTACAAATCAAATCAATGACGCTATATTCATTATATCAGTGTGTACGCAATAAATTATGGATTAGTAAACATAGAATTTTATATTCTCCTGTTTTTCTTCACCCCTGCCATTCATGGGTCTGTGGCAACAATTCATTTCCTAATTATCACCCTTGCACCCTTGTTGGATTGATAATACTTAATTTGATTCCAGCATACACACTCCTTTTTCTTGATTGTAATCTGGGTAATATAACACATAATGAATCATAAGAGACAGACTGAGTATAACTACATTTCCAACAACCATGTCTGCATTGTGAGCCTATTGCGCCATCTTCTGGACAAAGACTGTGGCTGATGGTTAGTGTAAAATCCTTGAATCACAACAGGGATATCCTCGCAACAGCAAATTAAAGTTGGATACAGGTTTATGTTTTTCAATGACAGGAACATTTACAAATTAATGCAGCTACTTTTACTCCAAGGAATGGTACACAATGTGTTAGTATTTTATATTGCCGTCCACTTCACATCCATGAGTTATTCAGCAAAGCAAATATATGAAATTTGAGAAAACGGCAGTTTAATATAATTAGGCCGTTTTTTCAAAGCACAATTCTTATTCTGCCGTTGTTTATTTTAATAAACATAATTACAAAAATAATGTTGTTTGAGACTAAATTGGTTCTGTTTCCAAGATACAACTACATAATGCTTATCACAAACATTGTTTTCTTACAAAAAGAAATACATGATGTTGTGTATTCACATGGAATACAAATGATTGTGCACTCTGCAGATACATATATATTAATACACATAGATATAATAATAATATAGTAAAGGACTGGGGTGCTCCGAAGGGCCCTGTGTACTTATATTGTTGTATATGTTTCCATGAAAAAATAACAAGGAAGAATTTAGCTTGAATCAGATTTATTTACAGATCTAAGTAGGGGACTATTTCCCTTGTGCAATAACTTTTTGGAATTCAACATCTTTTTCAAATAGAACAGCAGGGATTCTTGAATTGTGATAGAAAAAAAAAATATGTATTGTATTTTTACAACATGTTAAATAATATAGTAATGAAAGTGAAAAATGTAATGAACCCATTACACTACTATTGAGAATGAACAATGATAATTGATTTAAAGAAGAACTGTATGAACTGAGTTAAGGGGAAATAATCATTAGAAAATCACTTCAGTCATACTCTCTCACGGGGTAAAATAATATGTTCTTCGATATAACAAAAACAAAAAGTGTACTTCGATAAAGCAAACATGCTGCAAGTTTAAGCACAAAATCAGTCATCCCACACTATACTCTGCATGCTAACAGAGAACGCACTACAACTACAAATCTGTGAGCTTGTTCAAAATAACATAAGAAAATACAAAATGAGGCAAATGAGCACTATGAATAAAATAGCTGGTTCATTTCCCCAGAGGCAATGCTAAAGTGAATAACTTGAGCAAAGGACTGAAAAAATACGTCAACAACTTCAATCTCATGTCATCATCGACAATGGAACAAAGACAGCAAAGCAATGCATGCCAATGCACCCATTACGTAACAGAATAACAATAATAATACTACAAAGAAAAACCATCATAGGGAATGACAAATGAAGTTACTTTAATTAATTTGGACAAGTGAGTCTGAAGAGATAGGAAGTGGTGGGGGGGGGGGGGGTGAGGGATAACAGAAGATGGCAGTCCATCAGAGTAGTTGAGAGGAGGAACAGTGCGGTGATGTCTCAGGGGCCGGATGAGCTACTACTATGGGTGGTCTGCAGTACTCTCAGCCAGAGTGAAATGCAGGGGGGGGCAATAAAAGAAAAGGAGCTCCCAGGCAGAGGAGGACAGAGGTGTCACTATACGGCTGGTTTGGCTTCAGAAGCCCGAAGGTGTTAAAACATTCATGTCCCGAGGTTTCAGTTTGTGAGGCCGTGTGGGAGCTCGGTTGGCATCGAGGCCTGAGATTTCAATCTTCGGGGGCATGAAGTTGGCAGGGTCGTCCACCTTGAAGTTGACCTGGGTTTTAGTGCTATCCATGGTGGAGGACTTCTGCATGCCGAAGTAGGACTGCAATGAGAAGCCTGAAGGAAAGACGAGGAAGAGAGGAAAGTCTTAACATAATAGGAGTACTAGTAATACAAGTGAGGATGCCATATTGTGTTTGAATTATTAAAGACCGTGGTACCGTTAAGCTCCGACGTTATCGGTCTTTTTATCGGTACTGGAGACATCTAAAATATACGTTGTATGTATTATTGCTATACAAACATTATATTGCAGTTTTAGTGTCGCCAACTCCGTTTCTAATATGCAAAAAGACTGCAAAATGCGTCTATGATTATTTTTAGTATTTTCGATCTTTCCAATCCAGACGAGAGATCTCACTCTCCCCCGTCTGTGTGCGAGACGGCGGGGCAGTTTACACACACGTGGCTGCTACATGCATGCAACACACACAGGGCGGAGAGAACGTGCTCCGAGGTGTGGTTAAACGTTGCCCGTCTCGATGTGGACAATGCTCATTACCACAAGTGCAATAGGAGTTTAGCATGTAAGGGCGGCAACACGAGCAATTTATTGAAACATCTTGCAAAAGTGCACCACATTCAGACGGAGAAATGCACCGGGTTCCACTGTCTCTCTAGTACAGGGGTGGCCAACCCGCGGCTCTCGAGCCGCATGCGGCTCTTTGCCTAGTTTCATGCGGCTCTTCAGTTCATATCGAATTTTATATGTGTGAGTTTGGGGGAGAGACACTGACTCCTGACTAGTGTTGCATGGTGTACCGATACTTGAAAGGTATACCGCGATACCCTGCCGTTAAAAACGTTACGATTCCTCCGTTTCATTAGTATCGGTACTTTAAGAATGACGGGGAAAAGTACTCCGGTGAGAAAGCGCCGTTTTAATAAGAGCCGTGTGTTTTCAGCGCTCTGCTTCCACTCCCTGCACTGCAGCCGTGCCTGCAGCCCCTCCCTTCTCAAGCACGCTCGAAGTCCCTCCCCTCTCAAGCACGCTCTAAGTCCCTCCCCTCTCAAGCACGCTCTAAGTCCCTCCCCTCTCTCGTGCACGCGCTAGCTGCCAGAGCATGTGAGAAAACCAGAAGCATAGCTGCAAGTGGGAGCTTGTTGAGAAAAAAGACGCCAGAAGCGATGTATTTGAGCTATATCTCTGACAGTGAGGGCAAGCCTACGGACACCATGAGGCCTGTCTGTGAGAAATGTATTAATTGTATTTAATACGAATTCTTGTCATTTATTTTATTTATTGTTCTCATTGTTTAAAAGTTTGTGTTATGGTTATGGTTCTGGTGTGAAATAAAGCACAATAATTACATTTAAGACTGTTTCCCTTTTTTTAAGAAAAATAATCGGAATCGCAATTCTTGACTTGGTATCGAAACCAAAATGTTGGTATCGTGACAACACTGACAGTTAAACCTGATATTTAGTAGGTCTGTTAAGTATTGAATACTGATAATTCTGACGTAATTTGGCCGGTCAAAGTTGTTCGGGCTCGGATAAAATAGCTCCGTTACTTTCGTCCCGTGTTACTTTCGTCCCGGCTCTCCCTACGTGTGTATGTGTGGTGTCAGGTGTCATGAGAGGATGACAGCGCGTCTAATTTTGATGTGGCCCAAGAGCCAATCACAATAATACCTGCAATGCAGTGAACCAATCACCTTTGAGGGGGGAAAAACCTATTGTTGATTAAACACTATCCAGTGTTTCCCCTACCATTGTCTTGGAGGGGCGCTGCCCGCCAACGGAGCCCCGCGCCCCCCCCTGGAATTCAAGGTGTTATATATATAATAAAAAAAAATATATATATATATACCACCAAATTGCAAATAATCTATAACTACTGTCACTTTTCACATTGAACATGTGCTCTTTTATTAAATAAACTAAACGCTTTCATCTTAAGTTGTGGATTTAGTGTTGTTGACCCTAAGAAACACTGATGCATTAATCAATAACAATAATCCACAGCTCCTCTCTCTGCTCCAGAGGATTTAAAAAATATATCCCAATGCCACAAAAATGCATCAGTGACGTGGTTGAAATCTTGTCTCCAGAAAACAAAAAACTGAAACAAGCGGTATCAGTGACTGTGTGTTTGATGTGGCTCTTTGCAATAACATAGAAAAAATGTGGCTCTTAACCTCTGACTGGTTGGCCACCCCTGCTCTAGTAGCTCTGTAGCCCCATCCACGAGTAACGTTTCCCCGTCAGGTGTTATGTATGCTAGCAGCAACACACGGAGCTAACTCATTATTCAAACATTGGTTAATGATTAGAGGTAACTGAGTCATTTATTTTTTTAAAGTTTCAGCTATTCTGTTTACAGTTTTGTCATCAGATTATTTAACACGATTTGTTAAAACATTGTTGTTTCTTTTGATGTGAAATATTATTTCTTTAATTTAAATAAAAAGCAATGTTAATTTTGTTTACAATTTGTTTAGTTAGTTTACCTTCTTTTTTCTCTCCAAAAGAACCGATAAGAGTACCGTTAAAAGACCGGATCGATAAGCGGTATCGATCAAAGTAGTAGTACCGTTAAAACCTTAACGATACCCATCCCTACCCAAAAGCAACATTGGGTATAATGGCGCATCTCCACTACAGCGTGGAGCGCGGTTTAAGCGTGCCGTGCCCGGCCCGTTTTTGGTTGCGTTTCCACTAGGCGTAGTTCCGGCTAGCGGGTACTTTTTCACAGTTGTTCTGGCTCTCCAAAATCGAGGTTCTTTCCGGGCCAACAACCGGGCTGAGTATGCTAAACTAGTGAGAGAATCGCTGGCAACTACAACAAAATTAACATATTTGACCGTGATTTAATTGTAATACACGTTTCAAAATGATGCCGAAGTGACAACATACTGATATCGGTTAGTAAAAACCATGAATTAATGCTTTGACAAGTCTGCAGAAAGACGGCAGGCGAAAAACCTTTTAAAATGCGTGTTGTCTAAATGGAGATCGGCTAAGCTAACGTTGTATATGCTCCGACACAGACAGTCTGTGGTTTGTACTTGTTTAACTTTTGTCTAGTTTCTGAACAGATATGAGGAGCTGTGAGCTCTGAGTGCTAACAGCTAACGGTTGATGTTGGTTTTGTGTTTCGCATTGAAGATGACGTCACGGCTCCGCCGACACTGCGTTACTATAGCTACTACCCCAGTTCCTAAACTGTAATGGAAACGCAGCATAAAGTGAGCCTGGCCTACCAAGGCCTAACTATACCGTACTAAGCCGTGCGAGGCCCTGCAGTGGAAATGCGCCATAAATGTCTCACCTGAGCCGGTTTCACAGCCTGGGTCAGTGGGGGACTTCTGTACCACAGATCGAGTTCCAAAGAAGCTCCACCTCTCTCCTCCTCCTCCTGCTCCCTCATTTCCTCCCATGTTTGTGGTGGGGTTGGAACTGGTGAGCTCTGGTGGGGCAAGAAAAGGTGCAGGACTCAGCTGGAACCAGTTCCTGTATTTAGGGCAAGCAAAAGAAAAAAATTAACATATCATCATTTGAGCCATGTAGAAAAATGACATAATAACAACACGAGCAAAGAATATCTCAGTAGCTTGATGCTTACTAGGGATGCATACCGGTATCCGGTATTACCGAAATACCGGTTACTGGTGGCTACGGTATACCGTACCGAAATCAGATCCGGTTTCGATACTTTAAAAAAAAAAAAGATATATATATATTTTTTTATTCATTTAAAAAGTGAGTCAGTGGCCCGTGATGGCGGGTGTTATAAATTAGATTGCATAATCGTTTTTCTTCATATTTTATGTATTTTTCATTGTTTGTTCAATACTAGAAAGGTAAAAGTCCCACAAATGAACTGTGATGGGATTTTTTTCTCTCACCAGTGAAGGTAAATGGTCATTTTAAAGATGAGATTTGTTTGTTTGTGCAATGCCGAGATCTCATGACCTTTATTCTATTGTGTATTTGTTCTCTAGTCGAATCTCAGGTTTAAAATTAATCATAACGGTGCTATAACGGTCTGTTTGCATTGACAAGATGTGCTATTTACGCGGCACACCTGAAGATATTCCATAATCGGTTTTCTTCATATTTTTAATGTATTTTTCATTGTTTGTTCAGTACTAAAAGGTCCAAGAAGTCCCACAATTGAATTTAATATTCATTTGACATGTTAACTATATCGTAAAGCGCTTCATGGGAGTAATTGTGGGATGATACATTTTCAAAGTATCACGATATGTATCGGTTGAGTATCGGTATCGTTCAGTGGTATCGGTTGAGTAAAAAAGTCAACGATATGCATCCCTGCTTACCTGCGACTAACAGCCGGTGATGTGTGGGGAGTTACACAGGGGGTGACGCTGGGGGTGACGGAGGGGCTGACACAAGGGGTGACACAAGGGGTGACACTGGGGGTGGATTGTGCTGATGTTGTACACCTGTCCTCCTTGAAGTCCCCGGTTGGCATTCTCAACTTCTGCAAAGAGAGAAAATTAAGCAATGAAAGAAACAATCAAAGATTATCTTCTATGTTCTAGATCAGTGGTTCTCAAATGGGGGTACGCGGACCCCTAGGGGTACGTTGGAGTACTGCAGGGGGTACATGAGATTTATTTTATGTTAATGAGAAAGAAAACAACATAAGTAATGCATTTAAACAAACTACTAATAGTAGATTAACTACTCTATTCAAAAGTTTACATAAACTCTGGATAATAAAATGGGAAAAGTAAACGGGGTGCTCTCTTTTCCTCTCCCTCTCCTGACAGCCCGTCAGTCTCGTGCATCTCGCTGAACCTGTAATGAGTGACCCGACAGTAAAGAATGCATATATGTATAACTAGTTTAGCTAGTTCCAGAGCAGATCAACTAGCTAAGTGTGTTAGGTCTAACTCTTAGTGTATTTTGCTCCACTCAACGGTCCGTCACAGCGGCGGAGCTATGATCATGCAGAGCTGCATGTTCTCCGTCAGCAGCAGCTGATCTGATCTCTGATCTCTCTCTCTAGCGTCCGGTTAGACTTCACTCGCGTTTATGTCAAAATCTATCAGATCTAGCTAGTTCTAGATAATGATATGACTGCCTGCTTATCAAAGGACCTAAACAATAAGCGTTGCTTGGCAACGGTGTGTGGCCGCAAAGTATAGCGCAGCATTATGCATATGTTTATATGAGGGGTCAAAATCCCATGCTCATAAAATGCTCATATCTTTTTTCTCTTCATTCCCCACGCCCCAAAATAAATAAATAAATAGATATTCCAATTTTAGGAAAAGTAAGGAAGTTTGAGCAGTGTGGGTTTTATATGAACAGAGTTACACATATTTCAAAAGGTGAAGTGTAATAACTGCAGTTTGCCTCCCTGTCAGAATGACAAAGATCCTCAGTGAAGCTCAAGCCCATGTTTCTCACTACATTGTACAACTTATTAAAAAGATCAGTTCAATGCAACTAATGTCGTCTTAGTGTTATTGCTTGATGTTAAAATTGGTTTTCCATGAATTTAGTGATGGATTGTAAACATTTGAAATGTAGCATTTAAGTGTTTCTCAGTTACAAGGTTGTTGTTTTAATAAATCAGACACCGATGGTGCAGCGCTGTGCTGTACCTCTTTATAAGCATTTTTTCCTTAACAAATTGTGTTTGCGCTGATCAGGGGGTACTTGGCTGAATTTTTTTTTCAAAGGGGGTACATTATTGAAAAAAGTTTGAGAACCACTGTTCTAGATTCACGAGGTGCATTGAAAAGTGATTGCAAAATCTTTTGATATCAATAACGGCAAGTGTCTGGATGATCAATTTTGATGTATCACTCTGTACAAGAGGCAACGCTGTGTCACACTAACAGCCAATGTTTGCAATAGAGCATTGATCTTTTTTTTTAAAGAGCAAACTCTCCCTGAATACACAATGACAGAAGGTCAGCAGTGTTTTTTTGGACCTGCAGACCAAGAAAGTGCGTCACACACACATGCTGTGCAAATGTGTCGTGGGCTAGAAAAGAGAGACAGATAAGACACAAAGAGAGGACTGCTGTATAATAAAAACAAGTGGACGATGAACTACTTTATTCATATTCTAAATAAATAACATAGTTTCATAATGTAAGCGCTGAGACAATAAGTCATACTATTTGAAGATCATTACAGCAATGAATATAAACTACACATACTAAAACAAACTCACTCAAAAAAAAACTTGCTCTACCACCGGTCCAAGTGAATATAACCTGCAGTGGATTTGCAACTAAGAACATCCATAACATTCACCTGTTTGTAACTTACAAATTATGTATCACTTAGACTCTTATGGCACTACTTCTATTCTATTGTATTGTATTTACTTGCACTATTTTATCTGTTTTATTGTGTTGCACTGTTGGAGGAGCCTGGGACCTAAGATTTTCATCGACATAACTACACTGTAGCTATGTACGAATGACAATAAAAGCAACAAATAACAGTCCTTACGTGAGTAGCTAAATGTATGTTCCACAATACTTGCCTTTATCTTTAGATTTATTCCTGTAATTCTTTCTGTTAGATTATTTAAGTTAAATTCCCATTTAATGTGGGCATTTTCCCATCCTATCTTGAGGGTCCTTCCATACACATATCAATATCTTCTAGTAGATGTGGTCCTGCATTCTGCATAGGGTAACGGCCATCATGCAAAGGAAAGAGTGCCCCCTTGGCTTTTAATGCCCTGTATATCATTTGGGATTGTATCCTGGGATTTCATCACTGCTCCCACCCTGCTGGACCTCAGCCAGAATATCAGGACACAACAACATGTTGACAGTTCAACTGTTGTTGTGTGATTAAAGTATTGGGGCAGGGGAAAAAAGAAAACATTAAAGCATGTTAGACCCTGTGCCCCTCAATGAAGCAGGTATATTGTATAACAAATATGAGTAAAAGTAAATACGTAATTTTCTTATAGACACTTAAAGTAAGCACACAGGGCAGGCAAACGTGCGGCTAGTGGTGTGTTAGTTTTAAATAAAGCGATAGCAAATGTGAAAGCAAGTATAGCTATTGCTGGTTGTAATCTCGTTTTATATAATTCAGCTAGCTAGGGCCTCAGTCCAGATAGCCTCTTTAGAATGAAAACCAAAAGAAAAGATGAGGCGCACAGCTGAGGCTACTTTGCCTCAGGAGACCAAGTTAGAATGGGATCTGAAGGATCATTAACTGATGCTGAGCTAACGGTAACCGTGGCAGGCCGTGGATGTAGAAAGAGAACTGCAGGACTGCAACCTAACAACTAACGTTAGCTACTATAATAACCATCAAGTTACACACTACGTTTACGTGTCTTACTTAGCCAGCCGTAGTTTCTGTGAATCAACTTTTACTGACCCAGGTATAACCACAATAGTTGAACTGACATTGGCGGGGAGATATATAATGTATGAAGAACTAGCGTTAGTTTGTTTACTCAGGTTAGCACGAATGCTAGCCCAGCTAGCTGCCCTACAGTGATGATGTGCTAACGGTCTGCTTTTCGGTCGGAGTTACACAGTAACTACACAGTAATTAATCGACATACCTTTTTATGATAATCTTTCTTTGACGCTCCAGTCCGACAGATTCCTTAATTTTATCCATAATTAGCTGTTTAACTGTTTTTTTCGCGAAAACAAAAACGGTATCGTCGGCATAAACCAGAAAGGGCCTCCAAATAGTGTCTTTTGTTAGGAGCTCGCTGATTGGTCCGTTTGACAACACAAGGGGGCTCGATTCATTTAAGGGCGTTGCTTGGCAACATTTCTACCGGAAACTCCATTCTATTAAACCAGCATAGAGCAGATTACGTAACTTGTTTACAAGGATTGTCAACATGTTAAATAATTTTTCAAACCTTTATATAATTGGTTTTATCATTTTGTTTTCACACTAATACTTGCTTATTTGAGTATTAACACAGACTCTATCACTATTTTAGTATGAATATAGTCCCTATTTCTATTTGTGATCACTTTGGAATGTTATTATAGGTCAGCTGAGTGCACTTGAAACGTATGCAACCCTCTGTAACTTTCAAACCTTCTTTGCTATACCTTCCATCACATGCACAAAGATAAAGCCTAATAATCTTTACACTGGTTTAATTAAATATACTATCGTGTATTTATAATTGTGTAAGTTTTATTTAGATGCATGAGAAATTATTATTGCATCAGTTTATGGGATGTTAGCACAATGTATTAGGATAATGAAATGAAGAGATGTGAAATAGGGAAATAATAAAGAGCTCGTGTGATAATGTGATACTATTCCCAAGCCCATAGTATCCAATAAATCGGAATACAAACAGTCTTGCCAAACACTGTAGAGGAATAACATGAATACAAGTGAAAAAACAACAGAACCCATACCCTCACATAGTCATGCTCAATCCGGGATTCTATATGACGTTCTAGGCAAAACACACTCTAGGTCAGACGTGTGACCTTTCATTTTCCCGAAAACATTTAAATGAACCAACAATGTACAAGAAACTGTGTTTTCTCTCTACTTATTCAGGTTGTGCATTCTCTAAAGCACATGTCACACATTAAGGTGTGATGTGTATTTATTTTTCAGGTATTTATTATTATTTGAGGCATTAGAGATATTTTTCTTTGCTCCTTGCACATCAAGAGTCTTTTACAACAACATTTGTTCATACTCACTGGCAAGGTGCCGTCACCCAGTCGGTGAAAGCGAGTCTCCTCAGCAGAAAGACCCTTGTGGGGAGAATACCCAGCATCAGTGAGCCCTGCTTGGTGCTCAAACCTATGGAGGTTGTCCTGGGTCTGCTCTAAGTGAGGAAAGGTAAACAGTCCACAGTACAAATGAGTCAATGTTTTAAACATGATGCTCTGTAGATTGTTTTTATTTAAATGTGCCATCCAAGGAAGTACAACAATCATAGGTGAGACTAACACATTGATGTGACATGAGGTGAATCAATTAATTGTGTCATTAACTTGTGTGTTGTTATTGATCAAATAGAAAATAAATGGTCTTCAATTAGGGTTTCAGCTGGTTTTAGTTGACTTACTTATCATAAGTGTGCTCATCAAAGAGGTGGCTTTGGCTTTCACAACAGGAACTTGGGGATGGACTGGTGCCCCTGCCTCAAAAGTCACCAACTTCCCAGCATTCCCTCTTTCCTGGTGATACAAGTTTATACGGATTCATTTACAAACCAGTTACACAACAATGAGAACAAATGAAACGTTGTCAGTCCTGCATCATGCTTATGGAAGTTCCCCACAAGCCCAGGCAAACATCTTGTTAGAGTAACACAAAACACGTTGGGTATATTATAGTAAGAACAAACAGGAAAGCACCTCTGCAGTGTTCCTGAACTTGTGCTGTGGGATGACAGGGTCTTTCCAAAAGATGTTAAAGTTGAAGTCTGAAGGTGGCGAATGCATGGTGGCATCCATGAGGTCATCATAGCTTACAGTGCGCCGGTTCATTCCAATTGGACAAGAAAAGGCACCGAAGAGCCCAGAAGATGTGCCAGACTCAAGTGCTGAAAGATGGGAGTAAAGAAGTATTCATTGTTTGTGTGTTTTATTTCACATGGAGAACGTTTTCTGACATTGCCACTAAACTCGAAATACTTTTACAAATAACAAATATTAAGATTATTTCAGTAATATAACAAAAAATCCTGCGTTACCTGGAATATCTCCCCGTTGTGAGGACATTTTGACACCGTATCAATTAGGCAGACCACAGGAGACGGTGTAGGGTGAAAGTGTGGAGGTCCACTCTGCTAGGTGCTGATGGCAGTCCGAAGTGACGCTAATCAATATGGTAAGTATATTTTGGTTAGCCTAAGGTTAAGTTTGAGTAAACACGTCAGAGTCTTGTGCTGCAAGTGCAAAGTGCATAGCGTCCCATTTCTGCCCTGCTCCGAATATAGGCTAACTGCAGGATCTTGTTACAGCGCTGTCATGAATATCAGTTAATGTCAGTCCGGTCAGTCCCTTCATACCAGCCAGCTCTGCCCAAAGCCTAGACAAACAGCCCAATTGAGGATTAAAGCAAGCTCATTCCCACAAGGAAATGACACTTTCTGAAATCAGGAAACACTGCCTGTTTAATAAATAAACCTTGCTTGTTTTGTAAAACTCAAAGAAAGGCATTAGGCCTATCATTAGTCCTATTGTGTTAGGCCTATGGTCAACTTTGTCTACCTCTTTTATCGGTGCTCTATATCAGCATTGTCTGAGCTCACTTTCCATTGCAATCCACCTGCTTCGTCACCAAAATAAATAATCAGATGACCATCCGCCATCTGCAAAATGTTATCTTGTCAGATTTCAGATTTCGCAGATTTGGATCGGTGATATTTTGCAGGCTAATTTGGTCTACTTTGCAGACTGCTTACATCTGTCTGCTGCTGCACGTCAGCACTTTGGGGTGCCAGATACGGTGACATGCAAAAACAGGAACCGAAATCATGCCATGGGCGTTTGGGAATAACGTCAAACAAAAAAAAAATATAGGCTACAACTAAAAAAACTTGAAAACGATTATTCAAATAATGTAATAATCACTGGATTTTCTATTATCATTGCATAGTGTGTATTGTATTTTATTCATTAAAAAAACAATATTTCCAGCGTTTACATGAAGGACAAAAGCTATTGTAACACTTACCTCAACCTGTCAATATTTCCTTTCCTCTCCGGTTGAGTTATAACACAGCAGTGATGTCTTTCTTTCTTTGTCACAGTGGAGCTGAGTTGACATGCTGAACGAAAAAAATCTGTAGGCTATGTTTGTTCTTCGGTTGGTTCATCCATGACTTTTGGACAAACAGAGAGTAAACAGAGAGCTGAGATGTCCACACGGCAGCAGGGCACTGAACGCACCTCTCTGACAACCGAGACGCTAGTGGAGCCTCGCAGCGGCGAGACTGTGGCGCGTCCATGTGCGGAAGTGATACCACGAAGCCCTGCAGACTGTTGTACAAAAATAAGTGTATCAGAGAACCATATTATGCCAAATCATTAAACAAATATTAATGCAGATATAACTCAGGTATTTACAACAGTGTGAACATTAGCTTCTCACAAAGTTCAAATTATTTACATACACATTAGTTGATAGCCGTGGGTTACAGTTGATTCATGTTTTGTTATGGAATTGTGATTATTTATGTATGATGTAGGCTTATGTATCACTTTAACATTGCCGATGGTTAATGTAGGACTAGTTTACATTTATTTCTTATCTAATCACCAAACGGAGTGGCTACTCAAATTCCCCCCAAGGATTTGTAAATACTTCATATTGATAGCCTATCTTCATTTTGTTGTTGATTTCATATTTTTCTATATTTATTGAAAACTGGAAAGGAACTAAATGTATCAAGTAAAAATACCACATTTGGCTTAGAGATGTATTGAATTGGAAGTTTAAACATAGCAGGAAAAAAAAATGTCCTCAATATTTGAGTAGATATATACGTTTCAACTCAAAGGTCATATTTCAAAATTCAGATAGACAGGCAGTATCTTCTTTGTGGCCTTGGTTAAAGTTAGGGCTAGGATTAGGCATACAGTGAATCTCCATGATATGACTGCCAATGTTTGTGTGTGTGTGTGTGTGTGTGTGTGTGTGTGTGTGTGTGTGTGTGTGTGTGTGTGTGTGTGTGTGTGTGTGTGTGTGTGTGTGTGAAGGATTCCAGCCTATGAAACTCAGCTGACCTGAACCGCCCCTATCAGAATTTAGCAGAAGCGCATGTTGACAGTTTATCTCCTGTCATCTCCCTGCAGCTTTGGAGCCCTCATGCTATCTGTTGCATATGTTAGCCATGTAACCGCGGCCGCGCACACGGCGTAAAGTTTAGCTGTTCTACTGATCAAAGTTGCCCTCTGACTCAACTTGATCAAACAGCAAAAACTCCACAGATTCAATTTTAAAGAAACACGATACAGTTGGCAGTCAACAAAAAAGCCAAAGACAAGGATTTTCCCCCAAGAGTATGACATTTATTATTAAATAGACACATTTACAAACAATATTTTAACCAGTAAACAACAACAATTTATTAGGAATTCATCTACTATGCTATTTAAAATGGTATCCAGCGTATAAAAAACGGCTAAATGAGCGCAGACAGTTACTGTTGGGAGGGGGAAACAAGCAGGTCAAATCTGAATACTACTCACCGCCACTCACACGTGCCCTGTACAGACACAGCAACTGAAAAGAAAGTGATAAATTAAGAAAAGTGCAAAATTAACTAAACACACACACACTTAAGGGGCAGTGAAGTGCACGTGAGGGCCTAACACCGCTGAATCCCAACTCCCAAGGCTGCTGCTCACGTCAGGGGTGCTGGATCCCTCAACAAAAGACACAAAGCACAATAGTACATCAATTCATTGAGATAGTAAAAACACTAATACTCTTGGGAGATTAGGAATTGGAGCAACAATGTAAACAAAAGCATCAAAACGAACAACTATAACAAACCAAAATAAGGGAAACAGAACGGTAAAACAAAACAGCAGTGGCGGACAATCTTATGTCTCTCGGACGGCGCAGCCCCTCACACACACAATACCGCCGGTCTTATCACCGTCACGTGCACCATCGACTGCTACCTGGAGCCGTCGTTGATGCTCCCGGACCCAGTCACAGACCTCTCCTGCCGTAGGCTCTTCCACACGACCTAATAGGAAATCTACTGGAAGCTGGGGTTCCCGGCCAAACATAAAAAAGAAGGGGGATTGACCTGTGGTTTGATGTGGAGTAGTATTATAGCTAAACACGACCTGTTGGAGATATTCTGGCCATCGGCTCTTCTGTTCAATGGTCAGGGTGCGTAGATGGTTGTGCAGAGTTCTATTAAAACGTTCACATTGTCCATTACCTTGTGGATGGTAGTGGGTGGTTCTCGACTTTTTAATGCCGTAGAGATCACACAGTTGCTGGATGACTGTGCTCTCAAAACTGCGACCCTGGTCAGAGTGCAGTCGAGCTGGGACACCATACTTGTAGAACCACTCCTTAACAAGCACCTCCGCCACTGTAGCAGCTCGCTGGTCACGAGCTGGGATGACCTGGGTAAATTTAGAGAACACATCAGTCATTACCAAGACTTGTTCTCTCCCATCCCTAGCAGGCTCTAAGAAAGAGAAATCTATAGCCAGTATTTCGTTAGGTCTTGAGGCTAGCAAATGGCCCATGGGGGCTTTGATTTGTGGCTGTGTATTTTTAGCAACACTGCATCTCTCACACAGTTGACACCAGTCTTTGATTGTTCGTCTCATACCTGGCCAGTAGCATCTCTGTCGGATCAGCTCAGTAGTGCGCTCGATACCTTGATGGCCATGGTGGTTGTGCAGCTGCTGAAACACTTATTGGTCCGACTACCACTATGTAATTTGAGGGGCATTGCCTGGACAAGGCATCAGCGTTTTGGTTGGTGCGTCCTGGGCGGTACTGCACGGTGTAATCAAATACCGCCAGCTCAGCTACCCAGCGATGCTCTGTAGCCCCCAATTTTGCAGTCCCTAAATGGCTGAGGGGGTTATTATCAGTCAAAACTATGCATTTATGACCCAGCAGGTAATCATGGAACTTTTGTGTCATGGCCCACTTCATGCCCAAAAACTCAAATTTCATGGAGCTATAGTTCTTCTCAGCTGGGTGTAGGCTGCAGATGGCGTATGCAATGGGTTTGACCTTCCCTTCCTGCTCCTGGGATAAGACAGCTCCCAATCCGTCATGGCTGGCATCCACCTCTAAAATGAATGGAAGTTTAAAGTCAGCATAGGTGAGTACAGGTGAGGATACCAGCATTGCCTTGAGGTCCTTAAAGCCGTTTTCACACTGAGCTGTCAATGCATCACTCAGATCAACATCCCGACCGCAGGAATTCTTCTTCCTCTTCCCGGTCAGCTCCGCCACTAACTTGTGGAGAGGTGCAGCCAACTTGGCAAACCCCTCAACAAAGCGCCTATAATAGCTGGCAAAACCGAGGAAAGACCTTAGCTGTGACACAGTACCTGGTTTGGGCCAGTCAGCCACAGCCGCAATTTTCTTTGGGTCAGTAGACACACCTGCTGCAGAAATAACATGTCCCAAGTACTGCACCTCTTGTTGGAAGAAATGGCATTTCTCCAGCTTTGCCTTCAACCCCTCTTGTTTGAAACGTCCTAGAACCAGTTCCAGTCGCTTGAGGTGCTCATCTACTGTGGAGGAAAACACATCGTCAAGGTACAGAAGAAGAGAATGGCAGTGCTGGTCTCCAAACATCCTTTCCATCAGACGCTGGAATGTACTGGGAGCATTGCACAATCCAAATGGCATCCTTTCAAACTCAAAAAGGCCAAAAGGTGTGCAGAAAGCCGTTTTTGGTTTGTCTTTCTCTGCAACAGGGACTTGATGGTAACCACTGGCCAAATCTAGTGTGGAAAACCACTTGGATCCGGACAGTGCGTCTAAAGACTCTTCAATCCTTGGGAGGGGAAATGCGTCTTTGCGTGTTTTGTTATTCAACAGACACACACAAAGACTCAGGCTGCCGTCTTTCTTTCTCACCAGGACAATGGGAGAGGCATAGGGGCTACAGCTTTCCTTTATAATCTGGCTGTCTAGCAACTGACGAATGTGAGCCCTAACTTCGTCGTAGTCAGATGGGGGAATTCCCCTGTACCTCTGCCTAATTGGCACCTCATCAACTAGGGGGATGTCATGCGCTAAGAGATTGGTGCAACCCAGGTCAGAGTCAGAAGCTGCAAAGACGGACTCATACTGCCTCAACATAGACCTTACCTTTTCCTGATCTGACTGAGCGAGGCCAGATAAATCTGCAGTCTTTATATGCTGCCTTACTGGGTTCACCTGAGCTTCTTGGGAGGAAAGGGTAACTGTCACACCACCTGACTCATGTGCTACAGTAGAAACACCATCTGGCAAACTTACAATTTGAGCCTGACTCAAACGTCCTATAGGAAGGCGAGGATGGAGAACAACATCTGTCTCACCTACATTTACCAATGGAATGTACACAGTGCCATTGGTGACTGTGACCATTGCTGGGGAGAGCAACACACACTCAGGGAGGGAATGACCATCATCAAGGGCTCAATCAACGCAGCACCTGTAGGTTCACTAAAGTGAGAGGAACATGTTGCAGTCACCCACTTTACTGTACCCCCTGGTATGATTATGGGATGCTTACCTCTCACTCTTGCCAAACCTGTTTTAGGGGGGGTTGCACGTAGCTGAACATGTTGACAATGTTGTAGTGCCTGTTGCCACATTGGCGGAGCCTGCTGCACTGTAGGAAGAGCAAACAGATCAGCGCCATGCTCACTGAACAACTGGTGATAACATTCTCTGATCACGTTCATGCCCAAGACACCAGGAACTTCTGAGGGAGATATTTGGTCAGGGGGGTCTTTAACAACCAAAACACCTCGCCGGGGTATAACCTTTCCCAACACTTCCACATCCAGCTCCACATATACCCTATATATGGAATTTCCAACCCGTTGGCAGCACGAAGCTGAAGCCAGCGGCAAGACCTAGGGGCATCCTTGAAGTGCTGGAGGAAGAAACTTTCAACCATGGTAGTGACCATAGATCCTGTATCTAGTAGGCAGTTAACAGGTACACCACCCAGACCTACAGTTACTTTAGGACAAGGTGCAACAAGACTAGGTGCAATGATTTTGGCAGCTGTTCTCTGTTCACTTGAGCCTGTGTTATCCCCTCCTGATGTTTGGCTCTTTACATCAGAGGGAAAAAGTTTCCCGCCTCCTGTGCTAAGGAGGTTGCTGTGCCATTGACAATGGGGCCTCAACTACTGTCCCTGTGACTCAACCTGACCATCACCGCACTCCCTGGCATAATGACCTGGCTTTTGGCAACGTCTACATATAACATGGGCTGGGCGTTGCAGTGT